GGAGGTGAGGCCGCACGCGGAGGGCGGGGGTCCTGGCTCAGGCGGGGGCTGTGAGGGCGTCGGCCCCGCCCGGTCCTCCACCTGGAGGCCTGGATATCAGGGCGACTGGCGAGCAGTGAGGGAGACTCAGCTCTGGGTCCGGGAGCAGCAGTCAGGTGGGGGCCGCTTCCTGTCTCATTCCCTGTCCAGCTGGGGACCAGCCCTGCCCCGCGGGATGGGGACACAGCTCCTTCCATCCACCGTGGTCTCCCGGGCGGGAAGGAGAGCGGCCGTCTCCTTGACCTCGTCTGATGGGAAGGCAGGCCCTGAACTCGGGGTGCTCTGGGGGACATAGCCTCCGCCCTTGGGAGCAAGGCATCCGGGTAGGGGCCACAGGCTGACCCTGGCAGGGACCTGGTTGGCTTCTGGTGCTGACGGCAGGGAGACAGTGAGAGGTACACAGGGGACCCCCCCAGGCTGCCATGCCGGGGAACGGAAGGGCACAGGGAGGACAGAGCCACGCCCGGGTGTCCTTGGACACAGCCCTGGACTGGAGGGTCTGCGGGGGACACAGGGACAGAGCCCCATGCTCCTTTGCCTGTCCCTGCTGTTGCTGACCAGGGGGCGTGGCAGGAGGGTGAGCTGGGTCCAGTGTCAGCTCCAGTGCCTCTGTAAGGGGACCCAGGCTGGCTTGAGCCCCCGGAGAGGACCTGGGCTCCTCACCAGCACCCTGGGTGCAGCGGAGGCTGGGGCGCGGCGCTTGGTTCTGAGCCAGGAATCCTGCCCACCTTCAGGGAAGCACTGCCCCCCAAAGGGACTGCAGTTCAGAGCCCATTACCTGCCACCCCGGAAGTGTGTGAGGGATGGGTAGGGCTGGGTCCACCTCACCCGCCCCAGGACTCCACAGGGCCTCATCCCCTCCAGGGCAGCTCCTCCCACCACAGGCTGGGCAGGAAGGGCCAGGGCTGAGCCCTCTGCTGCTAGCTCCGAATCCTGGGCCCTCACTCAGGCCACACAGCCCAGCCGGGCCACATGCCGGGGCTTAGAAATAGAGACCACTGCCACCGCCACGGCTCCAGCCCTCGTCATGCCCCAGCCACGCACCTGCACCCACAGACCTGTGCCCACCTGCAACCCAACCCTGGTACCCATGACTGTGCCTACCCCATGATGTGCCTGACCCCATGTAGACAGAATCTTGGCAATTTTATCTCGGGTTGGGTAGACAGGGCTTGCCCAAGCAGCCTGAGGCCAAGCAGGTGGGGAAGCTGAGGTCCAGAGGAAAGCAGACCCCCACCCTAGCTTAAGGCAAGGAAAACAGGGCCATGGAGCCGTGTATTAAACCAGGACTGGGTCCGCAGTGCCCCTGGGCCTCCGACATGTCCTCTCCATGGCTGCCCGGGTGCCCAAGCCATGTGTATGGACAGTGGGGGGGGGGGTTGTGAGGAGAGCAGGGGCAGCCAGAGATGCCCCTCGAGTCCATCCCTTCCGGGCCCTTGCTGCACAGAGGCCCAAGGTCCTCTCTCCCCTCAGCACTAACCCACTCCTGTCCCTCAGCCAGTCTTGGTGACCAGGAGAGGGTCAGGTCTTTTCTGATCAGGATGGCTCTGCCCAGACTCCACAGGGCAGGGCCATGTCCCAAGACATCCAGGACAGGCTCATGTCCCCTGTGCCTTGGGGCAGGATTGTGTCCTCTAGAACCACAAGGTGGGATAGTATCCCTTTATGCCTTGGAAGAAAGACCCTGTCTTTTTCCAAGGACAGTGTCTCCTAGCAACCCAGGGCAGGGTCACATTCCCCCAGGCCCCAAGGGCAGGGTGGTGTCCCAGGTGAGAGGTGGCTGGCTGGACCCTGCCCGGGGCAGCCACGGCTGCACTTACATCTTCTGGCCTCTAGGTGTCGCCGTTGCATTAGTTATTTCTCCTGTCCTGTGTGGACACTACAGTCTCTATGAGGCCACCTGGTGGGGACCTGGGGCAGAACAGCTCAGCCTGGGCCCGGCTCCCAGAAAGGAGGGAGGGAATCCTGTCCCCAGCACAGGCCTTCCTGAGCTCCCAGGCGCGGCAGGAGGCGTCCACAGGATCCTGGACCTGGCTGGACTTGGTTTCCCAAGCACCAGCCACCCTCTGTCAATGAACCAGAGCAGCCCTGAAAGGGAGGGGTCAGTCCCAGGGGCCCGAGGGCCAGGTGAGCACCCGACACCTCCCGAGGTGGGTAGGATACCTCTGCTTCCCACGTCACCGCGCATGGTCCGGGCCCGGCTGTTTTCAGGTTCTCAGTCTGAGCTTGCTGAGTGTCCAAGGCACTGGATTTCAGGAGGTTCTGAAATCGGGCTGAGTCCTCGCTGAGACCCAGCCTCCTCCACCTGGCTCACTCCTCTCTCTCCGCAGCCCAGCACCGCACCGCCCAAGCCCAAGCCGCCCCCGCTGACCAAGGAGACCGTGGTGTTCTGGGACATGCGGCTGTGGCACGTGGTGGGCATCTTCTCGCTCTTCGTGCTGTCCGTCAGTGAGTAGCCACCCGCCTCTGCCCAGACGCAGCAGGCCTGCACCCCGCACCCGGCGTGGCCGTCCTGTGGCTCAGAGCAGCACTTCTGGGCAGTGCAAGCAGGCCAGGTGCCCACAAGGGGCCCGCTGTGGCTTCGGGCACCTCCGGATCAGCACAGTCCCCGGGGAGGGTGGACCTGAAGGTTTCTGCTGCTGGATGCGGGAGGCAACCACACGGCAGTTAGGCTAATTACAGGCCTTCGGCCGGGCAGGACGTGTCATTTTCCCTGCGTCCTCCCCGGCTGTTCCTGCAGCCTGGCCAGCTCTCAGGGCCCACACCCAGGGGCCCAGAGCGGCCGCCCCCCACCGGCAGTGCCCCAGATGCCTGGCAGATGTGGCTCAGACTCTGCCTCGTCAAATTCCATTTCCGGGAGTGACTCAAATCAAAGCAGGAGGCCTGGTCCCCCAGGGTCTGGGCCCTGGCTGTGCAGTCGGCCAGGCAAGACTCCTCAGCCCCTCCTCAGCCTCCTCCTGGGATGGGGTCCCTAGTCCGGAAGGGGGCAGAAAATCCCCATGAAGGGCAGGCCAGGCATGGGAGGCTGCTGCGGCATGAGGCGGAGCCATCTGACCCAGGGCCCCACAGGAGAAAGCATGTGGGGGCTCAGTGGGAAAGGGAGGGGAGACCCACTCCCCGCCCAGGGGCCCACAAAGGGGGCCGTGGGGCTGTGCCAGGAGGCACCAGCAGGAAGGAAGGGGTGAGCAGAGGCGGCAGGGTTAGGATGGCCCCAATGGGGTGTTCGTCCAGGGCACCCCGTTTTAAGTTCTAACACTTTCCTGGGAGATGCCCAGGGCAGGACAGCCCACGGGGGGCCCGCGCCTTGGACATTCAATGCCAGCAGCCAGATGTGAGGGGCTCCAAGGAAGATGGACATCTGACTGCACTGGGCCTCTCCTGGTGCCAGGAAAAGGGTCCCCTCATCCCCCTGAGCAAAAGGCGGCCCTGTGCTCCCTGCTGAGGCCAAGAAGCAGGCGGCTCGCTGAGGCCCTAGCACACACAGGTGCCCATACCCTCTGCCCCCAGGAGCACCACCCAGTAGCAGCCCTGAGCACAGGTCTGGAGCACCCCAAGGACAGAGGGGAAGAAGCTGGGAGCCCCTTGTTGATGGCAGTGCCAAGGGGCACAGTGTTGCTTGGGTGTCAGTCACACAGAGCAGCCCTGAAAGGGAGGGGTCAGTCCCAGGGGCCCGAGGGGCAGGTGGGCACCCGACACCTCCTGAAGAGGGTAGGATGCCTCTGCTTCCCAGGCGGCTTGGCCCAAGGAGCTGAGGGTGGAGAGTCTGGGGCAGGTGGGAGCCTGGGTCTCCTACAGCCCTGGACTTGAATTTGACCCAAAGCACTTTGTTTCTCCCCTTCTCTGAAGAGAAGCACGCAGGGGGTGGGGGGAGCAGGCACCGAGCTCTGCTCTGGCTGCCAGCGGCTGCCTGGCCATAGCCTGAGGGATACAGTACTGAGGAGGTGCCCGTCGGTGGCCACAAGCAGGGATCCAAGCCAGTAGGGTCAGGTGGGGACCAAGCCAGGTCTCAGGCATCGAAGAGAGTCTGAAGAACACCTGCACCTGACCTGCTCTCCACCCAGCTCCACCAGCGACAGCCCCATGCAGACTCCCACTGGCCGCACCCCAGGGTGCCTGGGTGCTGCTGGCTCCAGGTCCACCCGTTCAGGCCCAGTCCTATCCACCAAAGTGGAGCTCTGAGGCCATCCACACATTCACTCACTTATTCATTGCTTTCTCTCTATGCATGCAGTTAGGCCAGGCCGAGACCCTCAGTGGAAGGGACCCAGCCCTGGCTGTACAAGCTGGCCCTAGGCTCCAGCCCAGGCCACTAGGTCTGATGCATTTGCTCCAAACAGGCCTGGCTTGTGAAGCCTGGGCTCTCCCGCCTGCCAGGAGTTGGCCAGGAAGCTTGGTCTGCCCATCTGATTTATAATAAGAACAAGCTCTGTCCCCTCCCCTGGAGTGAGGGCCAAGGTGGTCAGACTGCGGGGGCCTTAGAAAAATAAACTCAGTCCAACCAGGTCTGGCAGCCGCGCCCTGCTCTGCCCTCACTACACAGGCCAGTGCCGTGCCCCGGCCCAACTGGCATGGGCACAGCTGCCCTTGGTGGAAAACCGCTCCTGGAATAGCTCTGGTGAAGTGGATGCCCTGGGCAGGGGCTGGGACCCCTTCCTGGCAAGGCCTCAGCCAGCAGGGCCCTGAGGCCATCCTGGCTGCATCAGAGCCTGGCAGGATAGCGGGTGCAGAGGAGCAACCCAGAGGCCTGGGGGAGGGCCCAGCTTGGGGTGCGAAGCAGCCCGTGCCTGTGGGACCAGGCAGAGGATGCCCAGGGCAGGGCAAAAGATGGGAGCAGAGTCCATGGCACGGCGCCTATCCAGGGCCACCTGCGGCCCAGCCCCAGCCAAGCCTACTGTGCGCTCCCCACAGTTATCACCCTGTGCTGCATCTTCAACTGCCGCGTGCCGCGGACCCGGAAGGAGATCGAAGCCCGCTACCTACAGCGGAAGGCAGCCAAGATGTACACGGACAAGCTGGAGACTGTGCCGCCCCTCAACGAGCTCACGGAAATCCCGGGAGGTGAGCCCCCCCCCTGCTCCACCCACTGTCCAGATTCACCCTGCTCCTGCCCTCCGCCCGCGGCAGGGTCAGGGGGTGGGGGACCAAGCACAGCCTCCACCACGGCGAGGCAGACCTTCCCTGGAGACCTCAGGCCCCACTACAGCCACTCAGCTTCTCCCCCCGGCCCACAGAGGACAAGAGGAAGAAAAAGAAGGACGGTGTGGACACAGTGGCCATCAAGGTAGAAGAGGATGAGAAGAATGAGGCCAAACAGAAGAAAGGACAGCAATGAGGAGGTCCACAGGGTGGCAGCCGGGCTGAGCCGAGGCCACAGCCAACCCACATGGCCCGGCAGGTGCAGGGACAGACGACAGGGGCCGGCCTCCTTCCACAGGGCACCTTGCGGCTGACCCACCCGGTGCGCCTCCGCTCACCCTTTCAGCCAGGGGCAGCAGTGGGGATGCGATGGTGGGGCAGTTTCCCTCTGCCCTGACAGGCTGTCGTGATGGGCCACAGCTGGCTGGACACAGGCCGAGAGGGCCACCTCATGGTGAGGAGCCTGCCCCAAGCCTGGCGGGGTCCTGTCCCTGGGGCGAGGGGCCCAGAAGCAGGAGACCCTGTCCCCGCAGACCCCAAGCTCCGCACAACGACATGCACTTGCTTTGCCCGTCACCGTGGAGCTGAGCTGCAAGACACTGCCATGAGGCGTGAAGCACAGGGACCTCCATCTCCTAGGTGGGCTCGGGGCACAGAGAATCAGGATGTCCGGCCGCCATGACAGCTCTCTCTATGCCCACAGTGGCCGGAGGGTTCAGGACCCTAGAGGTCGAGGTGGGCAGCTCCCAGCTGCGCCGTGCAGCAGCCTCCTCCCACCCACACTGCCAACAGCAGCATCTCTGCTGAGAAGAGCAGCCAAAGACCAAGAGGGCTGGACCCTGTGGAAGGGAGAGGGGAGAGGGGCTGCCTGGGGACTCAGGAGACAGCACAGCAGGTTCCTAGCTGGGGGCCCTGCAGGAGAAGCAGCCTGCAGATTTGCAGTTTTTTTGTTTTGTTTTGTTTTGTTTTGGTACTGGGGATCGGCAACACCACTGAGCTAAATCCCCAGCTCTGCAGATTTGTGAATAAAACTGAGCACCCTCTCAGGGCCTTCGGTGTGTTCTGTCCCTGGGGCACCTTGTGCAGGTGACACAGGCAGCAGCGGCAGGTGGCTTGGGCTGGGCTGGACCTCCCTCCCTGGCTTCTCCCGGACCAGCCCGATGAGGGCAACGGAGGAAAGGGGTCCAGAGGCTGGCAGAGCAGGAAGCCCCGGCACTGGCGAAGACGCAGGCTGTTGGAGACTCTCCCCATCTGCCCTGAGGCTCCCTGGGGACTCATGGATCAGCATCCTACAGCGGAGGGGTCCAGGCAGACTGGAAAGGGCTGGAGGCTCCGGAGAAGTTAGGGCGGGGATCACAGAGGAGCCTGCTGTGGGAGCTGGGTACTCTGCCCCTGCCAACCGGGGCAACTGCTGCCCGGTGCTCTCAGGATACAGCCATGGACTACTCCACTGAGGCTGGCCAGGGCCTTTGTCCCCTACAGGTCAGAACCTCCTGTGTGCAAGGCAGGGGAAGTTCCGGGGGGCAGGGCCACGCAGCACCCCTGACCTGGGATAAAGTCTCCCGGAAGGAACCCACTCCCCTCCCAGCCCAGAGATGCAGCTCCATTCCGATTGGGGTCCCCGCAGCCCCAGTTTCATTCCAAGCCCCCGTCATTTTACCCTGTGCCACCCTTCATGATCCCCCAAGTTGCAAGGCAGATCCTGGGGCCCCAACTCCTCCAGTACCCGTCCCCACCAGAGCCGGCCCAGGGAGAGCAGGGCAGGAGATGAGCAAAAAAAAAGCGTTTAATGGAGCGAGCATCACAGAGCAACCAGGAGGCTGAGGGGCAGTGGCAGGGCCAGGAGCAGGGCTTGGGACGGGGTGCGCAGGCCCAGCGGCTGCCCACTGAGCTGGGCCCAGATCCAGGGCTGGTAGGGGGAGACTCGCAGGAAGATGGGCGGTGCCTCACTCATCCTGCAGCCTGCACCCCAGCTCACCAAGCCCACCAGGTACGAGGTACCCTCTGAGGAACAGATCAGGGGCTCGCCGGTCACCTCCTGCGGGAGGGCAGCGGCAGGGTCAGGGCCCCCAGAGCCCACCCTCACACCCCAGCATCCCCCATTGCTCCTCCGATCCCAGCTCCCTGTCCTCCCTGGGGGAGGGGGAGGCGCGGGTGCTTACGTAGCAGAACTGCTCCCTGCTGGGGTCCGTGGCACAGACCATCTGGGAGGTGATGATCCACACCAGAGAGGAGATGGTGGAGAAGCTGTGGTAGAACTCGTCACATTCTTTGTTGTCCAGGATGGTGACTTCCTTCTCCTGGATGGTCCGGAACTGGGGCCACTCACCTGCAGGAGGGAACGGGCCTGGCTCCCTGCTGCTCGTGGCTCCAGCTCTGCCTCCATGCCCACCAGCCTCTTCTGTGTGTCAGCAGGGGCACAGGCCATCTAGCCCACCTGGCCTTGCTTCCTGAAGAGTCTGGGTCTCCTCCCACCCACTTCCAGCTGTCAGCGGTGCCTCCTCTCTCCAGGCCACCTTTGGGGACGAAGCCCCCTGTACTGAGCTTCCCCAGACCCCACCTCTGCCCCCATGTGTCCCAGGAAAGGAGACTCCAGGCATTCCCAGCTATTCCCCAGCATGGGCTGCTCTGGGGTACGTCGGTCCCCTGGGACAGAGGGACAGGTGCCTCAGTCACTCAGAGGCTCCCAAGGGACTGAACACTCCTGGGGCACCCACGTGAACCTGAGAATACGCCTGCTTTGGAGGCTTTGCCCCATGTTGGAACAGGAGATGGTGGCCCCCAAAGAGAGGGAGGATCCAGAATAGACACTGAGTGACCCCGGCCCCCAGGGGCAGACACAGGGCCCAGCTGGCCCCCCGCACTGTCCTGGTTAAGTGTGACCTTCTAGAAAGTTCTGCCCATCTGCCCAGCCTGGGGTCCGAGGCCCAACCGGCTGTGATGTGTGCACTTCTTGCATGCTCGAGGGTAGGAGACCTCAGACCCAGCAGGACGGTCTGTGGGCAGTGGGCCCCCCAGGGGACCCCAGGCTGCAGCCCAGCCTGGGGAGGCCAGGACTCACCATCGGCCCTGGAGAGACCCCAGCCCATCACGGTGCAGCGGCAGCCGGCCTCCAGCTCGTAGTACAGGTCTGGCAAGCAGATGGGCCACACGTACTTGCTGTAGTTGAGCTTGTGCTGGAGCTTGAGGAGGCCAATGTTGTTGGCCTGGCCAATCCAGGACCAGAAGCACTGGGGCCGGTACCCAGGGTTCACGATGACCTGAAGCACCGGGATGTCGGCGCCGCTCGGCGTCTCCTGATCAATCCAAGGGCTCCCCACCCTCACCGTGTAGTTCACGTTCTGCCTGGGGGACCCAGAAGGGGTGTCTGCCACCACTGCCCCCCAGCATGTTCCTCACAAAAGATGTGCACAGGGCTCCCCATTTCCATAAAATGAAAGGGGAAACGGAGGCTGGCAGATGCCCAGGGACCCGCTCAGGGGTGTGTAGCTGGCACCTGTGTGGACTACCCAGCATCCTGCGCTGTGCCTGACGGGTGTGAGAGGCCCTGTGCAGTTGCCCACAGCCTGGCTCTCACGCCGCCCGCCCTGGTACACCCCTGGGGTCCCTGTGTGGACATGAGCACGAGTCTCCATAGCCAAGGCCACCCTCGGGGCCCCAGGCCAAGCCAACTCCCCTGTGAACATGTCTCCATCCACCACCCCTTCTGCCCCCTTCTGCCCTGAGTACTCCACGGAGGGAGGAGGAAGAGGAGCAAAGGGGTGGAGAGAAAGAGCCGGGAGGTGGTGGAGGCCAGACAGAGGCTGCCAACGGTCCAGTCCCTGTCCTGGGATGACTGCACAGCACCCAAGGGCCAGGTGAGGGGCACAGGGCGAGTCCACTGCCAACGGCATCTGCACGACTCTGCTGCCACCTGCCTGGAGCTGGGGTGACACTGGGGCTGGGACTGGCGCCCTCCAGGGTTGCTGCTCCATGCCCCCCAGGCTCCGACTCACCGGTTCACACAGTGGGCCACGGCCAGTACCCAGCAGGAGGCGATGAGGCTTCCCGCACAGACATGGATGTCATTGGCCTGCACGCTGACCATCCAAGGTGCCCGCCGGGCCATGGCCGCTGCGTCACGGAGCGTGGGGTCCGGTTCAAAGGAAGAGCCACAGGCTGAGGAAGGAGAGATGCTGGGATGCCGCCAGCCCTGGGGCCCCTCCACTCCACCAGACCCTTCACAGCTACTTCCACTCAGCCACCAGGCTCCACCCCACTGGGAAACCCCTCCTGTGAGCCAGCACACACACAGGCAGGCACACGCACAGCCGGGTCCCGCAAGGGAAAGGCCAGTGGCAAATGGCTCCCGAGGCTGCCTGGACTCACAGGGGCTCTGAGCTTCTGGCCCATGCCTGACCAGCAGGACTGTGAGGATCGTGGCCCTGGGACTCTCCTCGCTGCTGTGGGAATGCCAACTGCTGCAGCCACTTTAGGGGCACTTTCAGAATGGAAGATGCCCCATCAGGCACCCATGGTCCAGCTCCTGGGTGTTTCCAAAAGTATCGGTGGCTGGCATAATTGGTGTAAGTGGCCAGTGTTACTATTTTTTTTTATCTCCTGTGCACACTGCTGGGACAGCCCAGGGCCTCAGGTGCGCTAGTCAAGCCTGCACTGCTGCACCCCGCCCTGAGGGTAACAGGGGAGACCCCAGTGGGCAAGGTCCCCAGGAGCCTCTGCAGGCACAGCTATGCCCCGAGTCCAGGACAGGAACTTCTGTGGGTCCCGGCAGAGCCCACGGCCCACACCTGTGCCTGGAACACCAGAGATCACAGCCACCAGAAGGGTCCCTTTGGTCCCCTCCTCGCCCCGCAGTACTCACAGGGCATAAACGTGGGCCTGGGTGTAGGCAGCGGTGTCTGGGAGGTTGGGGCCTGGTGGACAGCGCGAGGCTTGCCGAGGGCACAGGTGGTGGCTCTGGGGACACAGGTGGCTCCTGGGGTACAGAGTTCACCAGGGTTGACCGAGGCTGTGTTGGACAGGGCGATGGGCGCGCGGCCTGCACCCAGACAGCCTGCAGAGGACACGGAGAGATCAGGGGCAGGCGCGGGGTCTGGGGGGAGAACGGCAGCCGGTGGAGGGGTGGGGCAGGCGGGGTCTCACCCACAGGCAGGAGCAGGAGAAGCGCGCAGGCTTGGGCTGG